CTCTTTCTCTTTGTAGACCTGCTCCTCCTGTGTCCTGTGCAAATTGGTTTTCAGTTGGACAGGTACATATACATACATGATGATGCATGCTGGACCCTGTACACGCTCAGCTCATGAGCACTCATCAGCACGCACCAAAACACATCATTCAGATATAATTTAACATTGGGCATTGGATCTGATTCATTTCAAATATGCATGGGTTTATTTGCTTATTAGTTTGCAAGTGGGAGTAGTACTGCTCATCATTTTGGCTGAGATCTAGGCTACGACGAGCCATATATATGCTGTGTTGATGTATCTGTCATCAGCTAGCTTGAGCAGAATCTGGTTAATCTTTTAATTTTGAGCTGAGAGAATACTGAGATCGATGAAAATGCTTTAGGGAGCTAGTGAAGGCTAGCTCCAAGGAACCAAATTGAACTAATCCAGAACCGGCCAGAATAAACTCTTAGCTAGACTATGTTTGGTTTGAAGGAAAAAGTAGGGAAGGGAAAGAAAAGGAAAGGCAAGGGAACCTTTACAAACGTTTTGATACCTTTTCCTTCCTTTCCCTACCTTTTCCTTCAAACCAAACATAGCCTTATTGGACTGGACCTGCTCCCTGTGCTTTTCCTCCAGCTAGCCGGTTGAGTGGTTGGCTTAAGGGCACCCCAACCATTTTTTTTTTATCCTCAAAACCAAGAGAGGGGCTTGCATGATGTATATATTGTGCTCTCTCTCTCTCTCTCTCTCTCTCTCTCTCTCTCTCTCTCTCACTCTCTCTCTACAAGAAATGCTAAAATTCTAGCCAAATGATCTATTCTCATTTAAATTCAACCATGGACCATGACAGGCTTATGAGTTGTTGTGAGCACAAATCAACAAAATCTGATCGAGTTGTTCCCCCAAGTTATATGACGATATTTCTCCTTCTAGAAACTTTTCTATCTCATCCGGTGCTCTTGCACAGAATCAGAATGAGCAGGTTATTTCACTGCTTTCAGGCTAGCTTACCATTAATTTCATCATAATCTTGGGCTCATTAATTAGGTGAAAATTCAATATTTTATGATCTTTTTATTAAAAAAAGAAAGTAAATAAACTTGTTCCAATAAAATAGAGTTACGTTGAAACTTCAAACAGTGGTCCTAACTGTTGAAAACAATTTAAAGATGATTATCAAGGGACATCATCATCTAATTGGTTATAGATTAGCAAGCATCATGATGAAGATTGTAGAGCACCTTTGGTTTATTTTAGTAAGAAATAGCGTGCATTATCTGCACATAAACAATGGTAAGTTGATGGTGGCCTGTTATGTTTCTCTATGCTTACAGGGTTGTTAATTAAATCAACCAAACCAAACAGCATTAATATTGTAAGTTGAATGATTCAATCAGCTATGCCTGTGCCTGTGGTGGCTATGTCTATCTTTTCAAACATCAGAGTACAAGTTCGGGACCATTAATTTTTTTCTTGCAAGTGGACATGTGCGTTCAAAGTAATTGGGGCTTAATCTATAAAAGATCCCAAAAGAGTTTCAAAGTAATTAATTTCCTAAACCATGGGAAATTAGATATATAATTAATATAGAGATAAAGAAGATCTAAAGCGTGCATATGGAGGGCATTATATTGAGCTAATTTTATATTATTGTGTATATATATTTTACCACCGCAAGTTTTCATTCAAAATCCTCAATCCTCCAAACAAAAGTCAAACCAATTCAAAACTTATTTTCATTTAATACTCGTTTGCTGTGAGAAAGTGTATTACATATTAACAACTGCCAAAAAATAATATATATATATATATATATCTTAGCTTAATGAATAAAAATCTATTTGATCATCCCATGCATTTTATTTATTTATTTTTTAAGTTCAAATCATCTTTAGAGAAAAGCTTCAACTTCTTATCTTGGAATTTGTTGAATTCTCTGAGAGATTTGATTAAAATATTCAATTTCTTAAGTACATCTGTAAATGGTCCAAGTGCATAGGAGCATTGATAATTTTGTGTAATGTATAGTCTTGGAAAAGTTTTTCTCCCTAAAATTAAATGACTCGTAGTAATCTATATTAACCGATTAATATTAAAGGATAAAAGTGGTATTAAATTTTCAAAAAAAAAAAAGGAAATTTGAATAAAAGCTTTGAATTTTGGGGAATGATTTTGGCAAATCCCATTCTTAAAACAGGCGTTAACCTCTAATCACTAATCAAAATGTAAATGTGTAATTAAAAAAGCGAAAATATTCTCAACAATAATGTTTTCTTTTTGTCTTTTTACGAGGGATGTTCCTAATTTTTATCAGAAATAGGATATTACCTAAGTCATTCCTCTTGATCTTTGGGTAAAAATATATTTAGTTAAAATATAAGAAGATAACTATTAATTATAGACATGATTCAAGGGAAGAAATGAAATTTATCCTTTTGAAAGCTCACACCCTTTAATCATGGTTATCCATCGTAAAAGTTAAAGGTAAGGGTGGAGTTACGAAATCTAAAGAAGACATGCTATATATAGTTAAATATTATAAATAATAGTAATTAACATGTTATTTAGTATTTACTACCATATTATATAATATAAATATTCGTTTCTTTCCATGATTTGAAGTAAAATCACCAAAGCAGGCAATATATTACCTGCTTGATATTTCACATGTTTGGCTGATTCTTTTTCGTTTTTTACTGATTACTGACTTATTAAAAGTAGCAAATTACTCAATTTGGAGAAGAGCAAATTACTCAATTTGGAGAAGAGAGGTTTATTTATTTCATAGAACCCCAGGGAAAATTTTACTCGGTTGGTGAAGAGAAGTTTACTTATTTCTTTAAAATGGACTAAACATAAGGACCTACAAGCGGGGCCCACGAATTAAACAAAAAGTCAAAAACAAAATGTGTGGGGCCTGTGCATTGCATATGGTGTTGGCGTCCACCAATCTGGGTCCCTACATGCGTCCACATGTGGGACCTACAAGTGGGAAGGACCTACATAGGCGGGGCCCGTTTTTCATTTACATTTTCTTGCTGCAAACGAATGAAGGCAAACAATTTTTTAATTTTTTTTTGTCTGTTTTCGGTAAGAAAACAAAATAAAACCGAGTAAAATTAAAGCTGATGGATCATAATTCTGTCACTACTAAAAAATTTTACTCATTTTGATTTGATCTTGGTAAAAATGAGATTCTACTTCAAATCAAATCAAACCAAACGGAGTCATTTTCTTTTAAATTATTTTTGACCGTCCACCTAAAAAGGGAAAAGAAGGGACCCGCATGGACCTGAAACTGGTTGGTGAGGCACTCAAGTCCGAAGGCAGGACCATCCCCACACAATCGTGAAGATCAAGTAGTGCTTAGACTACTGCAGAATCTGCATCTACTTTTAATATGGGTTGGTAAGGAAAAGAAACAGGGAGTAGCAGCGGAGATTTGGAGAGATGCGGGTCAGACTAAGAAGCCTCCGACACTAATTAGAACATACAGCAACTGAATTGGGGCTTCTCAATAGAAAAAAAAAAGGAGATTCCGTCAGGTCTGGGATGAAACCAGTGTTGGTCCCGATGGGATGCCACCAACGTAAATTCGTTACCAGATGGTTGGTCTCAGAGAGGCTGAGCAGATCATATCAGGGTTATATATATATATATATATATATCGATACATAATTCATGAGTAATTCCACTGACCCTGAACATCATCAAGTGTGACAAAATGCAAAACGATAATGCATGGACCTTGGTAGATCATATCAAAGAGCAGCCAACCCAACTGGAACTAAGCTGATGAGCTGAGCTGAGGGCAAGTAATCAATTGATTGAAACCATCAGCCATGTAAGAGCAGTATGTCCAGGTGGCAAACATCTCTTCTGGTGGTTGTACTTGTTTCCATGTACGTACAGATGGCAAAAGAAATTCTCTGGGGGAGATTGTTTTCTTCCCGGCTACACCCGCCCCACCAGCCCTCCTTAATCCCTAGCTACCTAATCCCTAATGGCATACATGCATGGAGTTGGAGTTGGAGTTGGAGAGCTGAGACCTACCCAAAAGACAACAACAAAGCCCTGTTGACTTTAATTAAAATTGTAGTTTAGTGGTTAAGTGGTTGTAATTATTTTGGATGAATGAATTGTTGTTAACACAATCTCCAAGAAACCTAAAAATTAATTACATGGGAATGGATGCATACGATGGGAAGGATACAATTAATGATCTGTTCCAACTTTTGATTTTGTTTTTATTTTTAATTAACCCCCTGCTTGCGCTTGGAATTAATAATTGTTGAAACATATGCATGAGATTTCCATCCCCCAACCATATTGTCAATCCACTTCCCAGAATGATTATAATTTTCGGATCTACAGCTAAACTCTGTTGGGGCGACCAAATAAATTAATGAGCTTTCATGGAAAACTTCACCCTAAAGACACCCACTTGTTCCACCATTTGTACAGTTGAGTTGGTGATAGTACGTTGAGGATGCGTCTTTAAAGGATTAATAAAAGATACAAAACCAAAAAGTATGATGGTTTTTGCCCTAATTATAATGCCCAAACCCGGAGCAAGAAATTAACGTTTCTACACCAGAGATTTATTTAATATTTATGAGTACATTTGTATACATCTGAGAATATCCCCGTCTGGTGAAAGCCGTGAGGACATAAATTTGCCTCCCTTGGAAAAATATATTTCCATTTAATATAATCCCCATACAAGAGATAGGAAAATTTCTAGGCATAACTGTAATGTAATATGAAAAAAAAAAAAACTGTGATTAATGTAAGTTCCTTTGCTTCTAACTCTATGGTATCAAGTGAAAGAATCCAAGGAGACTCATGCATGGCATGTTAGAATTACTGATAAACAAAGAAAACACTGAAGGAAGACAAGGGCATGGTGATGTTTCCGATCATCATCATCACCTAACCCAAATTCTCTTTCTCTTGTTAATTAAGTAGAACAGCATGACATCTTGATATATAGCATAGGAACCTGGTGCAGTACGTAAAGTAGGAATGCCATTTCCCATGGTGTCTCTGTACTTCAGTTTAATTTGATCTTTTTGCAACTTAACATTACAAGATTATATCCGGAATCTGCTGGATTTTGGGTCAATGCCCGGCAACCCCAACAAAAATCTCAACCAGAGAATAAATGGAGATCATATATAATGGCGAAGAGTCGAAGACCAACCAGCAAGAAAAAGCAACATTCCTCCATTAACATCGTCTTCATGGAAATTAATGCGTGAGTGCTCTCCAATTTCTATTCGGACATTTCCTACAAATTTAACACAATTGGCTTACCCGTATATACGTGGCTCAATGATCATTTAGCATCGTTGCCGCGGACTTTCTTGATCTTACGGCCAAGATCGGCGAGTAAGGCAGGTGGAAACAGTGATATAATCTCGTCGGACAGATCGAGCAGGTAATTTTGCCCAGTCGGAGATGCTTTTCGTTTCGTTGATGATGCGGGTTTCCTTGGTGCAGGTGGGCATTGTTGGATTACTGGGATTCTGTGATCTGTAGATGTTGGGGTTCGGAACCCGTCGTTGCCTTCGTCCCCTGTGGCCGTGAATTCTCCCAGAGAAGGCAGTTTTTGCTTCTCAGAAGAAACTAAACTCTCGCTATCCTCTTCTTTCTCTTGCTTCTGTTGTTGTTGCTGCCCAACTTGTCCCTGTTCTTGTTCTTCTTCTTCCTTTTCTTCTCGTACATGAAATTCACTCTCCTCCGAAGTGGCAATTAGGCTGCTATCTGAGAACTCTAATGTAGATGTTAGAAGAAAGTCGAATTTCATCACCTTCGGATCTTCCTCAACAAGAAATAACTCTGAATTCGACATATTCAAGAGGGACATATTTTTGAATTCGGAGTACATGAAAGAATGAAAAATATATATATATATATATATATATATATATATATATATATAACAGAAGAAACGAGCAAACAACAATAATAAGAAGATTGGAGCCCAAAGCTCGAAAGAAAGGGTAGGAAAGAAGCGACTAATCCCCGTATTCTCAGGATTTGTTCGGTGATTTCTCCCACTCGTCCCTCGGCTTCTTTGGACTTACCTATTTTTCGAGGTTTTCTTACACGAAACTACGAGGGACAAGGTGGAGGATTTCAAACTCCCCTTCCGCGAAGGATCCGATGCACTCCACATAAATACCCACATCTCCGTGTCTCACTATGACTCTCTCGGTTAAAACTTAAAGCCATTTAATCTCTCTCTCTCTCCCCTAATCCTAAGACTTCTCCCAAACTGTTTCTTCACTCTAGACTAGGCCGTAAACTGTAATTAAATTAAATTAAATTAAAGCCATTCACACTCAAACAGCAGGTCTACGCATTTCGCCTTTCCTTTCTGATGACTGATTTTGATGCATCTATGCACGTGGTTTGCTACAGGGGACCATATCTGATGAAAATTCCCTCATTTTTTCACGAGATATCGGACCCCACATCTCAGATGCTTGGTTTCTTTTGGAACTAAAGATATACAAGTCTATTCTTACTCTTATCAAGAGAAATGAAAAAAAAAAAAGAAGATATATAACTCTTAGGTCTTAGCTTTTTTGTTTTTTCAACTTTTCGTTCAAAAAGAAAATATAGATAAATATATAGAGGTGCAGATTCTACTTGAGTGGTTGCTCCGGGTTCTTGGCTTTCTTTACATCATTGACATCATTGTCTATCTTTCATTTATATAAACATCCGCTACAGTGCACCACTGCAGCACTGTATCTCGTGACTGTTTTATTTTAATGAATTCATCTTGCTAGTTTCTTATCAAAAAAAAATTATGTTAGATGCATTAATATGAGTCGTCATTATCTAAGGTTGCATTTGGCATTCCTTATTTTAAAGACTTATCTTCTTTTTTCACTTAAAATGTTTCTATGAACATTGAGTTCTTAATGGTAAAAAGGAGATAAATCTTTATAAGGAATGCCAAATGCAACTTAAATCTTATCCCAGCTAAGGTCGGTCATCATATTAATGTCATATATATTATTAAATTAGTGAGTGCTTAAATCGTTTCTTACAAGTTTGATTCATGTTTTTTTTTTTTTTTTGATAAAGTTAACCTGTTTCTGAACAAAGATCATATGAATAATGTATATATGTTGAAGAATAATAAAAAATGGTCTATTTTGAAGAATTTTCAGGCTATTGATATTCTCTTAATTATCAATGTAAGAATCACCTTAAGCAAGTTTTAAAATATCTCTTTTTTCCTGCCGAGAAAATTTGGAAATGTCGGTCATATATAGGAGGAGTGTCACATCTTGATGAATGAGTTGGTGGATGAAGGACCACGTAGAGGGTGTTTGGTTGGACCCTAAAATGATATAGCATTAGAATTTGAAATGAGGCCCATATAAATAAAGTGGATCATCACTCAGGCTCACCACCATTGAAGGGGGTTAATAACTTGAGATTCCTAGTTGAGCTTGAACATGGAAGGGGAATTTAGAACTTCCAGTATGTTGGTAATTGATCCAATTATTTTACATTATTATATAATATAATGGGAATGATAATTATCTTGGTAATTGATTTTCTTGTTTTTATCTTCCCATGAGAAACGATGAGGTTGAGGACAAATATATAGGAGAAAATGAAGGCTGATTAATTCAATGCGGGGGACCGCATTGGAGTGCTTAGTTTTTCATCATCAAACAGCATAAAGGAAGGAGGGGGTTAGAATTAACTTTAATCATTTATAATAATTTATTGTGTTGTTGAATAATATTAGTATATTAATGTGGGGTAACACGCTTAAATATGTCTTGCACAAACACACACACTCTCTCATGGGGCATCATTACATCTCATGCTCTTATTGATCATGATTTTGCCCCCATGCCCAACCATCATGTCCCATTTCTAACAATCATCCCTTCCCCAATTTCACCTCTCTCTCTCTCTCTCTCTCCCTCCCAAACCCCAGATCTCCACCTGGATTCACTTTCTCTCTTGTTGGGACGTCTTATTCTATAATTTTTCTTGGAACGCAAGGACATGTTCTCCCCTATAGGGGTCTTAGTCACTTGCAATGCATGTAATCATAATTTTTGCCGTGAAGTCTGTCATGTTTTTGGGGTTTCTTTTGCGATGATTTAGGTCATTTCTGCTCTAAGAATGGAAGGAGTGAATGGAGGGAAAGTTCGTTTTCCTTTTTTTTGTTCTATTTTTTTTTTGGGGGGGGGGGATTCTGGTGTCTGGTAGGAGTGAATAGAGGGGTTGTCTGATAGGAGTGAATGGAATCTGAGGGCGGCAAGCATGAGAATGCGAGTTGAAGTCTTAGGAGGGCTATTTTGTACGAAAAATGCAACGCTTAGGACCATACCCAATCAACCCCTCTCTCCCAAGACCCCATATAACTGGTAAACGGGATTTCTTACTCACTTTTTCTATCCACTCTTCACCCGCCATGAATTGGAGCCACATCTTTAGTATGAATTGAGAGATGTGTGACTGCAATTCATGGCGGATAGAAAATGTGTAAAAAAAGCGAGTAGAAAATCTGGGTTTTATAACTGGGACCAACATTTGATAATGGCCTTTTGGCGACTGGCAGGAGAAATGGAAGATTGGCCCACAGTTGCACAAAAAGTAGGGTTGCTTTCCAAAACCTTACCGACTTACCCACCAAATCTTAATCTTTTAATTCTTGTGGGATCAGCTTGGAACTGAGTGGGGTCGATTTGATTGGGTTGACTCGGCCCACAAATTCAATTTTCAGTATTCAATTATTGTCATTATTATTATTATTACTGTTTTTACAGCGTCTGCTTGAACTCATTTCATCTCCTGAGTTGATCTGTTGACTGTATGGTCAATTCAAATCAAACTCAACCCGACATACTAGTAAGATGGGCCCAAATCCAGTAATGCGATGAATGAGCCACTTCTCCAAATACATGTACTGAACATGTTGTGAATTGTTTTCCACATTAGTCCATTGATGATGAGCTTCTTTTTTCTTTTTTTTTTTCTTTTTGGCTGCAATGCAAACGTTGATGATGAGTTGTTAAATCGACTGCTTAATTTTCTCTTCTTAATCTTCTTCTAATATCGCAATTAAAATTTGGTGACCACCTTTCAAGTCTTGCTTTCATAATGGAGAAGCCAAGTTTTATAGCTCTCTTTCATGAGAAGGAACAAGAAGAAAGAAAGAAAGAAGGAAAAAGGGAAAAAAAAATCGAGACGTTTCATGATGAGACATTGAGCATGAATCATAAAATGGCATTAACTATTCTAGTATAGAATTTGTTCTCAGTGAGATAGTAATGAAAGTAAGATGATATAAAGTTGAAAAGAATGTTCATACAAATATTTATACAACTTACAATATTCTGGCCTTCTGCCAATATAGAATAATTTAAATATATAACTGGACCATCTAGATCTATAGATAACAAGATTTTTAATATTAGATCAAGTGGGTTGGCCTGGTATATGTGATTACAACAAATCAGACAGATGGAAAACTTACTGTAAGATGTTATTAATTAACAAGGTAATGGGACTGAGCAAGATGGAATAATTACTGAATAAGATAATGTGTTGAGGTGTTGTTACAGAAAGAAATGTTGATATTATAACACCTACAGCGTACTGATATATATAGATATATGCTTTAATTTATATATGTTGGACTTGGATGGCGTCCTACAAATGACTGTCCTTCTCAGTTCAGTCTTATGCAAGAGAAAGAGAGAGGGGCCGAACATATAAAAACATGGGTTGGTTGTGGTTGAATGATTGTTGATGAAAACCTCCTTTTTTTCAACTTTGAATTTATAATACATCAGTGATTGGAAAGGGTAAGGGTGGTGGAGGCTTATAAGACTTAGGCTGATTCCCTGCAGATTGGTATGTAATGTATGATTGTGCCATAAATCCCTTTGCCTCTGATGTGGTGCCAGCGCCCTAGCTGGATTGTTTCTTCTGTGGTGGTGTAGTCGGAAACAAGCTAAGATTGGTGTCATCACGACACAGTTATAAGTGTACATAAATAATAGAAAGGGAGCGTCTTAGGACTGTATGGTGCTGTCCAGGGCCCTTACTAACTTGCCATGTGTCATGTTTTCGGAGGATCTACACAATCATTTGGTAGGTTCAGCATGATTGATACAATTGGCTAATCCATTATTTCCCAATCTTTTTACAGAACTCTTACAACAGTAGATTTAATTGCTCTTCATTCTGCTGTTACAAATTAATGAATTGGGTAACACATTTCTGACCACGTTCATCTAGCCATACATTAGGAATATCTCTTGTTTGATCGATGCAAAGATACATACAACCACCCCTCCACCACAACCTGCAGTCCACAGACCCACGCCCAAGTCATGTTACGTCTACCGTTTATGATGCAACATAGTAAAGTATGTCATATCATCATCATCATCACCAAATATAATGTCTAAGTTCATAACAGTGCCCTATCTATGGGAATGGGGCCCATGTCATACACTCTTTCCATATGAAAGCAAACCATGCGTGTCCATTTTGCAACAACCCCGATTGGTAGAATTCCACCCATTATCTTCATTTCTTATTCTTATTGGATGTCAAGTATGCAATGTATTTAACTAATTAGCTGCTTTAGTCGCACAAGTATAGTAAACTACCAGAGCCAAGTATATGATATGGGTAATGGGTGTACTAAAACGGAATGGGCAGTGCTGCGATGGGCCAATTCCGGGCCTTCATCCATTGACGCAAAAGCTGGTGTGTCAGGGTGAGCCAGATAAAGAAATGGGTTGCCCTGAGCTCGGGCCTAAGAAGCCCATCCCTAATCTAAATTATATTATGACAAGGCATACGCATTTGGATTTGGCATTTCAACTTGCTACGTATTTTTACT